TAAAAGGACCAGCAGATGGCATAATGGTTACATCACCGGACTCCCACGTAGTCGATCATGGTTCGAGTTCCAGACCCAGCAGCTTAAAACACTTTGGGCACAGGTGTGTGCATACCTAAGTTCCTGAGAGGCGAATGTGGGAGAAGAGACCGAGGCATGGATCTTTCCCCCTGGAGGGTGTTTTCTTGCTTTCATGTATGCACCCTATAATTAAAAAAATTCTCTCTCGAAAAAGAAAAACTATTAAGAACAAAATGTTTGGTTAAGGAATTTGAATTGTATTCTATAGATTTCTTTAAATTTTTAATAATTATTTTTATTATTTTAACTTTACTTATTTATTTAAATTCTGACCAGAGAGGGACAGGGAGAAAGAGAGCGAGCGAGCGCAAGAGGGAGAGAAAGTGAGAAAGCAAGCCACCAGGTCCGGTCCAGGATTTGATCCATGGTCGGTCATGTGGGAGTCCAACGCCCTTAACCATACCACCTGCCCTCCCCTGTATTCTGCAGATTTTTAAACAAAAAATGTGATCAAAATGATTTGGGGTTTTTTGTTTGTTTTATAGGGTTTTTGCCATAGGGCATATGCACTCACCAGAGAGACAGAGGCAAAGAAAGAAATCACACCCCAGAGAGATGGCCACTCCACAATCCCTTCTCCTCTATTCTCCTGGTATTTTAGGCATGCACAAACACACCCCTTGTGTGAGGTTCAAGTCACAAGATCTGGGACTCAAACCACAGAAAGCTACATGGGAGTCCAGCACCTTAACCATTATGCCATCTGCTGACTCCAATCAAAATAGTTTTGGGGTGTTTTTTTTTATAAATTATTTATTTACAAAAAAAAAAAAAAAAATCTTTCTATATAGTCATCAGAGAGACAGAGACAGAGAAAGTGAGAAAGCAAGATGCCAGGTCCAGCCCTTGAACTACAGTCAGCCATGTGGGAGTCCAGTGCCCTAACCACCATGCCACCTGCTGGCCCCTCAAAATAGTTTTTAAGGTCCAGCCCCATACCCTAGTGGTTAAGAGAGCCGGAACCCACATGGCTTGAATACCAGCCCTGGTGGCTTGAAAAACACACGTGCATGCATGCCCAAAACCCCAATGGAATCGAGAAATGGAAGAGACGGGACTGTGCTTGACCACGCACCATTGGGGGCTGCTTTCTTCCTCTTTCTTTTTCTCTCTCTCTAACAATCATGTGTACCTTTTGGCAATTAAAGAAAAATAATTTTTAATAAGATTAA